ATTTAGTGACTCTAAGGTGGGTGGGTCAGCCCTCACTTGGAAATAAAACTGAAAGATCCAGTAGGCAATAACTTAGACTGCTCACTAAGATGTGTTGGTCTTCTCCTGAGTACTGCAAAACCCCTGCCCTTAACCACAGTGTGGCCATGTGAGGTTCTCAGGCTTTTCATCAAAGCCACCACCTCCATTGATTTTCTGATTTACTGAAGCAACCTGGCCTGAAGTTATTGGACCAGGAGATTGGTGGCCCAGCTCAGATTTCAGCTGTGCTACTGGAAAGCCATCTTCTTTCAGGAGATCTTTCCTGTCAATTCCTTCATTTCCCTATTTCTTTTTTTTTTTTTTTTTGACAGAGTTTCACTCTGTTGCCTAGGCTAGAGTGCCGTGGTGTCAGCCTAGCTCACAGCAACCTCCAACTCCTGGGCTCAAGTGATCCTCCTGCCTCAGCCTCCCCAGTAGCTGGGACTACAGGTGCTTGACACCATGCCCGGTTAATTTTTTTGTTTCTATTTTTGGTTGTCTGTATAATTTTTTTCTATTTTTAGTAGAGACAAGGTCTCACTCTTGCTCAGGGTGGTCTTGAACTCCTGAGCTTAAGTGATCCTCCCGCCTCGCCCTCCCGGAGTGCTAGGATTACAGGCGTGAGCCACTGCGCCCAGCCTTTTCTTTTAATTTGGAAAATGCTCTTGGAGTCTGTGATCCTGTGTAGATGGCTCCCATCGGGCGCGGCTGAATGGCATTGGTGGTGCTGACTGGGGTCTGACCCCTGACCCCACCATTTACTGGCTGTGCCTCTGTTTCTTTGCCTGTAAAATGGGGAAGATGCTGGCTCTGCACCCGCCTGCACAGGTTCCCTGTCTTAACAGCATCATAACTGTTACAAAAGAGACGGACTTGCTTTGAGATGCCTGTTTCTCATGAACCTGTGGGCATCTTTGAGTCGTCGCCCTTCCTCCAGGGCGTGCCTGCGTCTGTTTCATCCCCCGGGGCTTCCAGTGCCTCTGAGCCAGAGTTAGGCATCTGTCCCATGGTGTGTGTGGCCGGGTCCACCCTGAGACCTGTCCTGTGGCAGGTGCCGTGGGCACGTGGCTGATGGAGCCCAATGTGGGGGTGGGGGTGGAGGGTAGCCCTGGAGGACCAGGCCAGGAACAGAAGGTTCTTTGTGGATCGTACTTATTGTCTTCTGCCTTCCCCTGCCATCTGCGACGTGTCCCAACCCCATCTGGGGCTGACCCATCTGGTGTTTCTTTCCCAGCAGGTGTTAAGTGAGACTAACAGTCTCCCCTCATGGAGGGCCCACTGCTCTAAGACGCTGGTCCCTCTTGGACCTTCAGGGCATTGGGGAGGCCTTCGCAGGGTGCCAACGGCGTCATGGGGCCAGGCGTGGCTGAGTGGGCTGTGGAGGCCCCAGGCAGGGAGCGTCACCTGGGCTGCTGCTGGCGCTCCCTCTGGCCCTGTTCCCAAAGTCCCTGATGGCAGCCCAGGAGGAATGGGCTCCCAGGTGTTCGTTGCCGTGGGAAGGAAGGAGACTGGGAGTAGCTCCCTGTCAGGGTGGGGTCCCCGGGAGCAAAGGGACCTGGGCTCAGCAGCAGTGACCGCTGCCCCCAGCGAGGAACGTTTCCCTGCCACACAGGCCTCCTGATCACGTGCCACGTGGCACGCATCCCTCTGCCAGCCGGATACAGAGAAGAGATCGTGCGGTACCTGCGGTCAGTGCAGCTACCTGACGGCGGCTGGGGCCTGTGAGTGAGCCTGACCCCGTGTCACTGCACGTCTACACGTGTGTGTGTGTGGGTGTTCCCGTGTAGGAGATGCTTGGGTTTCCAGGCAGCTGTCGCAGGGTTAGGGGTGACTGCAGCTGTGGGCCTGGGGTGGGTGGGTAGGTGGGCAGAAGCTGCCAGCCTCAGCTTCACACTTTGTGTTGTAAATGGGTTTTGTGGCCGGTTGGGAGATTCTTGAGACCCACATGTGAAGACTGTCCTCCTCCTACCCCCGAGGCAGGAGAAGTTGCCCTTGCTCTGGGTGGAGGCGCCAGGCAGCCCTGCCCAGGTCTCAGAGGAGCTGCTTCCCGCAGTGTGGCTCTCTCTGTGGAGCAGAGGCCTGGCCCGGGCGGTCTGCTCTGGCGTGGGGATTCAGGAGCAGGAAGTGAGCGAAAGGGGCGGCGCGTCCTGCCCGGGCAGTCTGGGAGTTGCTCAGCTGTCGTGGGAGGTGCAGGAGCTCCCACTGGTGAGCCCCGCTCGGTGCTGTGGCGTCACGTCCACAGCGCCAGGCGTCTCGGCATTCTGACTTTTCCTTTCTTTTCTTCTATTTTTTTGGAGACAGGGTCTCACCCTGTTGCTCTGGCTAGAGTGCCGTGACGTGATCATAGTTCATGTCAACCTCAAACTCCTGGGCTCCAGTCATCCTCCTGCCTCAGCCTCCCAAGTAGCTGGGACTGCAGGTGCCACCACTGTGCTGAGCTGATTTTTTCCCCCATTTTTAGTAAAGACAGAGTCTCGCTCTTGCTCAGGCTGGTCTTGAAGTCCTGAGCTCAAGTGATCCTCCTCCCTCGACCTCCCAGAGTGCTGGGATTGGGGGCGTGAGCCACCACAGCGGTCGCATTCTGACTTTTCTAAGGAAGCGTCATGGGGAGGGTTGCTGTATTTCTCAGAAGTAAGGACGGGTGCCGTTTCTCGCTGGTTCTCTCCTGTAGGCACGTTGAGGACAAGTCCACAGTGTTTGGGACCGCGCTCAACTACGTATCTCTCAGAATTCTGGGCATCGGGCCTGACGATCCTGACCTGGTCCGAGCTCGGAACATTCTCCACAGGAAAGGTACGGCCTGGGCCGGCTCTGTGACACGCCCGCAGGTGGGGAACAGAGATGCACCTCCAGGCGCACCCTGGGTGAACCGCGCTGTGCGCCGTCGGAGCAGGAGCCTTCGGAGCAGGAGCCGTCGGAGCAGGAGCAGGCGGAAGCTGCTCAACCTACCAGTGGTCTTTTCAAAAGCAAATTAAGACAACCTGATAATTCTGTTTGTTTCACGAACTGGCAAACACTTAAAAGCAAGGCGGGGAGCCGGCACAGAGGCTGTCCGTGCCCCGCCCGGGCGCCTCTCCCCCGGCCTGCGGGCTCTGAGGGCCGTCAGTGCCCTGGGAAGGCGCCACAGCTCCCGAGAGCAGAGCCCGATTCTGGCTGCTGCTCACTTGGCAGAGCCTGGTCTTGCCCTCTGCCCTTCCTGGGCCTCCTGTCTGCTCCTCAAAGCCCCTTCCTTCCTCGGGGCTCTTCGCGGCTGCTCCCTTTCCCTGGGGGCCTCCTGCCTCTGCTCCCACCCAGGGCCACGCCCTCAGGGTTACTTCCTTGGGGACCTCTTTGTGATCTGCCGGGCTGGGTGAGGTGTCCTGTTACACATTCTCCCGAGACCCTGCGTTCTTCCTTCCTGAGTTTGTCCGTGTTGCAGTCAGTTCACTGTCAGCCTTTGGTGTGGTTGACGCCGGGTTCCCCACCACACTCCTGGCGCCTGCCCAGTGGAGGGACGTGTGGGCCACACTTTGCCTGGGAGCCTCAAGAGTCTTTGTTGACCTTTGCACCCTGAGTTTGGGGCACGGCCTCATGAAGCGTGTGCAAGACTGTGTTGCTGTCGCTGTGCCTGAGACTGTCCAGGTGCTGCTGGAGGTGACTCCGGACGTGGGGCCAGAGTGTGGGAGCCCCTCTGGAGCCTGGGGCCCGTCACACCCGTGTAGGACCCGTCTGCCAGGTGGGGTGGCACAGACGGGGCAGATCAGACAGCCCCAGGAGGGAGAGGCCAGAGCAGGCACTTCCCTCGTCACCCTCTCCAGGCACACGTGGACACAGCTGCCATGTGCGTCTGGACCCCTCCCTGCCTGAGCACTGAGGTGTCCCCACACTGCCCAGGTGGCTGCCTTCACGTGCTTCCTCCTGGGGGCAGGGGCTGCAAACCCCTCTCCTAGGATCGGACACACTCACTCCCGGGAAAGCCGCCGGTTCTGCCCGCGGCTGTAGTGTCTCGGGCAGTGCTGAGCCGCTTTGGAACCTGCTTCTCAGTGGGGTTGGGGGATCTGCAGCTGCCACCGCCTGTGAGAAGGGCAGTGGGGACTGCTGTGGGGATGACCTTCGCTGCCCTTCACAGTTAGAGGCAGATGACGGGCCTGCTCTCTCCCCAGGTGGTGCCGTGGCCATCCCCTCCTGGGGCAAGTTCTGGCTGGCCGTCCTGAATGTCTACAGCTGGGAAGGCCTCAACACCCTGTTCCCGGAGATGTGGTACGCTGGCCCCCGAGCCGTGGGTGTGGTTGCCGGATCCCTGCTGCCTTGCGGGGGCGGGTAATGATGTCCGCGGGTCCTGTGCTGGCTGCCACCCAGCAGGTGGGGGGACCGTGGTCCTGTGGGCAGGGGCCCTGCTTGAGCTGAGTCCTACAGAGTGACGGAAGGAGGCTCCCCGTGGGGCTGGAGGGAGGAGGCGCCTTGGGTGGGGCTGCGTGGTGAGTGGGCGCCACCATGGGTGGGTGGCTCAGAGCCCCTGTGTGCAGCTGTTGGACAGCTGAGCAGTCTTGTGGGAAGTTTTGGGCACCTGTAGAGGAGAGAGAGCATGACCCCCCCACCCGTCTCCTTTGCTGGTGGATACCCCAGATACCACTCTGACCGTGGGCGCTGTGTGTCTTTAAAAGATGGGTGGTTTCTATTAATAGAACCCAGCAAAGTAACACTAAATCCTTATTATCCGATATCTATAACCAATGTTTTTTAACATTTTGTGAACATTTGATGAGAGCTGTGAACGTCTCCCAGGAAGCACTCCTGTGCACATGAGTTTACCCCGAGGGTTGCGTGTGTTAGGAGGCGAGGCCCAGAACGCTGCAGAGCTGGGCGGAGCCTTGCTGTCTGGAGTGCAGCAGGAACTGCCTGGGGTCTCCTCTCGAGGGCTGTCAGGGTGGGCCGGAGGGGCCGGTGCTGGGTGACTTTGGTGGTGCTGAAGAACCCTCAGGAGAGGGCAGCGGGGTCCTGACCGAGGGCCGAGGCCTTGCCCTCGCAGCCAGGCTGGGTGGTGACGGGCCGGCGTGGGTGCTGAGAAGGCAGGGGTGGTGGGATCGCCCAGGGTGTGTGTGGGGGGCACAGGGGCAGTGGCGGGATGTGCTGGGTCGTCCAGGCGACTGGCACGGGCGGGTTTGCTGAGCAGGATTCGGCCTCACCCACGTGAGGAGCAGGAGGAGGAGGGTGCTGGCCTGGCTGCCGGGCGGGAGCGGGTGTGGGTACACGTGCCGCAGGCTGGCGCTGGGCAGAGCATCTTGTCTGTGCGCCCCATGGCGGGCTCCATCGGTCGGAGCTGGTGCGTGTAACATCTTCGCTGGGCACTCTGGGCTAGGGTGGAAGACCACAGACCCTGACCCACTCCAGCTACAGGAAAGCTGGAAACACCACCCTAAATGAGAAAAGCACCCTTGGTGCTGGTCCCCGTGCAGGGTGGGCATGCGCTACACCGCTTGGCTTCCCGTGCACGGGGACGGGGGACGTCAAGAGACCCTGGAAGCTGGTATGGCTGTGCCAACATCAGTAGAGACAAGGACCGAAGAACCAGACTCTATGAGCCTGCAGTTTTTAAAATAAAATTTAAAAAATAAACTTCAGTTTTGTAAGTTTCCAACTTCCAGAAAGATTGCAAATATAGCCCAGAGCGTTCCCTAGGTCCCTCACCCGGTTCCCATCGTTACTGTTTCACGCAACTAAGAAACCCACAGAGAATGCTGAACGCTCAGGGCTCGGGCACTTGGCTTTGGAATACAACACGCTGACCACACGCAGAGTCGTCTGCTCCCTGGCAGGGGCCGTGGGCGTGACCACACTCTGCAGGGGCTGCACTGACCCGGGGGAGCGGCCCTCTGCTGTGCTGGCAGCAGGGGCAGGTTTGTGTCCTGGGGGTCTCCCGACTCGCACTGTCCCTCTAGGCTGTTTCCCGACTGGGCGCCTGCCCACCCCTCCACGATCTGGTGCCATTGCCGGCAGGTGTACCTGCCCATGAGCTACTGCTACGCCACCCGGCTGAACGCCTCGGAGGACCCACTGGTCCAGAGCCTCCGCCAGGTGAGGCCTCTCAGGGAGCAGAGTGCATGGCCGCCGGGGCTGGGACCTGGGGCCCCCAGAATCTAACCGCACGTATCCGTGCACCGGGGGGCCTAGTAACCCATGTCGTGCAACCTCTGCTCAGGGGACTTGTGCTGTGGGACAGGGAGCAGCTGTCACCCAGGTGTGGCAGGGGCTCCCCAAGCTCCCGGAGCACACTGCCCAAGCCCTGGCCCACAGTTGCGTTGTGTTTGCGGGAAGCAGACCCTGAGCTGGAGTTTAAGGTGCAGGATGTTACCAGGTGGAGGAGGGGCAGAGGGAGGCAATGAGTCTGCAGGGAGACACGCTGCTCTCAGAGTTAGGCCGGCTCCTCGGATGGTCTGGCCGTGGCCAGGATGGCTGGGCCTTCGTACCCTGGAGGTGTTAGTCACGGATGTGCCCCCAGCCCAGGAACGGGCGTGCCTGGGGCCCTGAGGGCTGGCAGGTGGAGGAGGCTGCCCCTCCTGGTTTGAGCCAGGCCACGGTGTCCGGGAGGTGCTGCCTCCTTCCCAGTGTCTCGGGGCTGCCCCCCAGGAGCTGTACGTGGAGGACTTCACCAGCATCGACTGGCCGGCACAGAGGGACAATGTGGCCCCGGACGAGCTGTACACGCCGCACAGCTGGCTGCTCCGCATGGTGTACGGTGGGTGCTCCCAGGGGGCCCCTGGGCCAGGGCAGGCGAGGTGGGCGTGTGCCTGGACTCCACCACTCCTTCCGCCCACGGCGCTGAGCAGCTCCTGCCGTGGCGGGCCCAGGTGGGACCAGCTGTGCTGGACTGACGCTGGCAGGAGCCCATGCTCCACACCAGGCTGGGCGGGTGTCGGGTCTGGGGCGAGTGGAAGGGCGAGACCCCTGGTGTGCAGCCCACTGACGCTGCGCTCCCCTGCAGCGCTCCTCAACCTGTACGAGCGCCACCACAGCGCCAGCCTGCGGCAGTGGGCCATCCGGAAGCTGTACGAGCACATCGTGGCCGATGACCGCTTCACCAAGAGCATCAGCATCGGCCCGGTCAGTACCCCCTGCCCGGTCCCATCTGCAGTCCCCAGGGGCAGAGAAGCCCCAGAGGCCGGTCTGTGAGCCAGGAGCAGTTTCCCTGGCGCCTGGTGCACCTCCCTTAGGGACGTGGCCCTCTGATTTCCCATGTGTGAGGAGGGTGCCAGCCTCGGCTTGGCGAAGCTGCTGACTGCACCCAGCCCTCCCCCCCTCCCTCCCACCTGGTTTTTGTCTTGGGCATGTCTGCACCTGTTCCTGAGACCTTGCTGGCCAGCGGGGAGGATCCTTTTTTCTCACCTGATCCCTTCCCCAAACAATCTGTCACCTGACCTTCTCTCACGGGGCTTGGAGATGCCAGGGTCGGTTGTGGAAGGGCCTTGAGGCCCTGTGTGGCTTCTTGCAGCTGGTGGGGGACTTGGTGCTCCTCCCCAGCCCCAGCAGGGCCCGGTGGAGGCCGCCGTGACGTGCTCCACTCCGTGGAGGCGCATGTGCCCTGGCCGCGCTGGCATGGGGTTGCCTGCTGGCCGAGTTGTCATGAGCCCCCGGCCAGTGGTGCCTCAGGCCACCTCAGTGAGTCACAAATGTGAACTGACCCTGCAGCGGATCCCTCGTCCGCTCAGCACTGCCGCGGTTCTGTGTGGACGTCAGCCCAGCCCCACGTCTGTCCTAGGGAGTTAGAAACCACAGTTGTAATTGGGTTTCGACTGTGAGACCTTAAGTGGAAAGTCAGTGCCCCTAGAACATTCTGCCCTGAGGAAGAAGGGGAGTGAGCGTGACTTCCACTCTGCTCGTCTCCACTTCCATCCCTGTGCCCCGTGGACCCTGTCCTCTGTCCCCGTGTCGTCTCTAAGGCAGACCGCATGCCGCTGCCTCTGCTCCAGAATCTGACACCCCCAAGTGCCTGTCCCTTCTCAGCCCTGCACGTCCTGAGCTGGGCCATGACCTTGGCCAGCACCGGCCTCTGTCTGAGCCGCCTCTGGGGCTGATCCTCGCTCTTGGGCCCTGATGCGTAGTGAGTGCTCGGGAGACTCGCGTTAGAGCCGATGGGGCCCTGGCCTTGTGCCCTGGGGCTGCGCAGCCGGAGCAGAGCCCTGACGGCCACATCTCCTGCAGATCTCAAAAACCATCAACATGCTCGTGCGCTGGCATGTGGATGGGCCGGCCTCCTCCGCCTTCCAGGAGCACGTGTCCAGAATCCCGGACTACCTCTGGTGAGTGTGGCTGGTGGTGCTGGCGAGAACGTTGCCAGGAGCCAGCTGCAGACACGCGGGGCCTTCCCCAGTGCTGGTGTGGGAGCTCCCTGCAGCCTCAGCGTCCCAGCGAGGGATGGCGCCGGGAGGCGTGTGCTGGGCCTCAGCAGGGCTTGTCAGCTAGGAGCGCGTGTTGGCCTGGCTGTGCGCTAGAGGTGGGCTCCTTCCGTGGAGAGACCACAGAGCGGTGCCCGAGATGGGAAACCCTGGGGCGCGGGGCCCTCCCTGGGTGCTGTGGCCTGCCCAGGGGCAGTAGGGCTGGCCGGGGAGCCCTGCTGGGTGAGCTGCTGTCCCTTCCCCGCTGAGTGTGGCCCTCACACCAGGAACCCAGCCAGGCGGCGCCAGGCTTCGGAGACCCTGTGCCCTCTTCCAGGTGTGGGCTCTGGGTGGCCAGTGACTCCCAGCTTTCTCCTCATCTCTGACTTGGGCTTTTCTTGTCCTCACAGGCTCGGCCTCGATGGCATGAAAATGCAGGTGAGGGCTGCCGGGCGTCGTGGCCCGTTTCCTCGTTTCCTTGCAGCTGTTCCTGCTTATTATTATTATTATTATTATTTTATCATTTTGGGTTCATTAAGATTCAAAATGACTTCGCCTCAGTGCAAGTTCCGGCACTGTAAGATGGAGGCTCTGTCCTCCCCTCCAGGCCTCCGGCTGCATCCTGTGTGTGTGCCGCCGGCCTGCGTGGACGCCCACGTGTTCTTGCATGTCCCCCTGCAGCTTTCCTGTTTGCTCCGTGCTCTGGGTCAGGGGGCTGACTCGCTGTAACCACAGACCCGGGGTGGCTCGGATGCCGCAGAAGCGCTCATCTCTTTGCCGCGCCGGGAGGCGGCTCTGGCTGGGGGGTGGCTCCTCTCTGTGGTCATTTAGAGGCTCCTTCCTTAGGTCCTGGTAGGTCCACGTCTTCACCCCCGGCTCCCATGGTTGCCCTGGGGTTGCCCTCTGCAGCGCGGGAGGGACCAGAGGGCAGTGGGAGGGAGTGTGGCCAGGCCTGGAAGAGGCACGAGGACGTCCCCTTTCTGTGGGCTGGAGCCGAGCAGAGGGGAGGACGGGTGGGTTTTGCTGGACATTCAGCCACACACGTGTAGTTGACTGCTTTCTAGATCCTTCCTGGGGCTTCAGCTTATGGACAAACCAGAGAAGATGTGTCCTTTCTGGGCAGGGATGCCGGGCCAGGGTCCCTGCCCCGCAAGGGGTTGTGGGTCCAAGACCACCCTGTGCAGGGGGCCTAGGGCTTTTGTCAGATTTTTCAGAAGTCCGTAAACCAGAGTAGGTCAGCACTGTGTTGGGAAGGGCCAGCCTGAGTTCTGCCACAGGACAGCTGACATCAGAAGCGACCAGCTGGTGCTGTTCCGGGTGGAGTAGGTGTCATTTCTTTAAGTCAGTCCGCTAACAATAAAGTTCAGGAGTGGACTAGGAGTTGAGGTGGGAGAACAGGCCCAGCTCCACCGCCTGCCAGCCTAGCGTCCAGCACCCGCCAGCCCCCACTGGCAATGGGCTCCCAGCCTGCGCCCAGTCCTGTGACGTGCTCTGACGTCCTTCTCTGCACGTGGTCCCACTGGTTGGGTGTCGCAGACGATGGTGTTCCTGGGTGTGGGTGCCTGCTGCCAGGCGGGCCCTGGCTGACCCTCATCCTGTCCTGGTGCCCTGGGTGCAGGGTCTGGAGGCCACAGTCCCGTCCCCTGGGCTGTCCCCATTCCCTGTGCGCGAACACGGTGGGTGTCTCAGGACCCCAGGCAGGTGCCATCCAGGTCTTGCGTTCTGCTGAGGGGACACCATTGGGGGGGGCCTGTCTGCTGTCCCACGCTAGGTCAGTGTGGAAATGTGGCGTGTCCAGAGGGGTCCTGGGGTGTCACATTGGGATGGGCACATGCCCACCCCAGGGCAGGCCCCACAGCCCCCCGGGTGCCCACACTGTCAGTGTCATGTGAGATGAGTTTCAAAACACGTACGGAGCGGAGGAGAGTAATGAGCCTTGGGCGGCGGCCTTCCTGGCGGCTGAGCCGGTGAGGGCTTGTTTCCACACTGCCCCTCTGCCATTGCCACTCCCAGAAATCCAGTGATGGTTCCTGAGTGGTGTCTTCGCCACATGGTTTGCAGCTGGTTGGTTGGACGGGCTGGCGTTTGGTTGTTGGTCCCCAGTGTCTCCCGCTAGAGGATTGACCCTACAGGGCTCTCGTTGGATCCGGCCGTTTGCCCCGTGCCTGGTTTCTGTGAACGGGCGTCAGGCTCTGGGGCCCCATCCTGCTGGGTTTCTTTTTTGGCAAGAAGGCACGCACTTCCCACGTGTCATCCCCAGGGGTCTGATGTCTGTGACTTTCTGCCCCGCGCCCCATCCCCGCTGTCCAGCTTCATCTCACTGGGGTTTGGCCACCGGCCTCTGAACTGAGGCCAGAGTGTGGACCTGTGACCCAGGCTGCCTGGATGGGTTTCCAGGCGGGGCCTTCCTAGCCCTGCCCAGGGCCCATCACCTGCAGGGAACTCAGAAAAGGGGGGAGTGTTTCGGTCACCACATGGCGGGGTGGGGGCTTCGTGTTCTGCAGGGTAGAGCCCGTGAGGGACCGTCCCATCCTGGCTGGCGGCCATGGAGGACCTGTGTCTGCCTGCAGGACACGCCTTCTCTCAGGCCCTGGACAGCTGCAAGGGGCGCGCAGATGGGACCGGGCAGGGGGTACTGACCGGGCCAATGCCGGTGCTCTTGGTGAAGCGGTCCTCGGCCACGATGTGCTCGTACAGCTTCCGGATGGCCCGCTGCCGCAGGCTGGCGCTGTGGTGGCGCTCGTACAGGTTGAGGAGCGCCGCAGGGGAGCGCAGCATCAGTGGGCTGCACACCAGGCCTCACAGCCTGGAGTCAGGCGTTGGCTGTGCATCCCCAGGCCCCACACCCAGCCTGCCCGGCACCTGTCAGGGCCCGAGCGCAGTGGGCGGGATTGCAGGTCGCAGCAGCTTCTGAGGTGGCCCATCCTTTGTCTGCAGGGCACCAACGGCTCCCAGATCTGGGACACCTCGTTCGCCATCCAGGCTCTACTGGAGGTACGTGGTTCCATGTCCTCCTCTGGCCCGGCCAGCCTTCCTGTGCGTGTGCACACGTGTGTCACCCCAAGGGTCATGGCACCTGCTGACCTCGCACCCGCTGTCCTTCCCGCTGGCCTGGGCTGCGAAGCCTCTGGTGGTGACTCTGCTGAGGTGGTGCCCTGGGCGTCGGGCTGGGTCAGGGGCTTCGGGAGGGCAGGGGCTGGAGGCTGTGTGAATAGGAGAACCTGCTGAGGGCTGTTCCAGAGTGCGGGCAGTGGGGCCACCAGGGCAGGAGTGAGCCTATGGTTCTTCTTAAACTGCTCGGCTGGGCTTGGTGTCTCACGCCTCTAATCCCAGCACTTGGGGAGGCCGAGGCAGGAGGATCTCTTGAGGCCAGGAGTTTGAGACCAGCCTGAGCATCATAGTGAGACCCCATCTCTACAAAAAAGAGAAAAAGGTAGCCTGGTGCAGTGGCTTATATCTGTAGTCTTAGCTACTTGGGAGGCTGAGGCAGGAGGATCACTTGAGCCCGGGAGTTGAGGGCTGCAGTGAGCTGTGATGATGCCACTGCACTCCAGCCTGGGCCACAGAGCGACACCACCTCACAAACAAAACAAAACAAGATGAAACTTAAACCGGTTGTTTTGGACGTTCTTGAGCGTGCACTGTAGAGAAGTGAGGGAGCATTTGTATGCTGGTGGGAATGAGGTCAGTGGAGTTCTCAAGGTGTTTCTGGAAAGCCCCGAGGTCTGGGCCATGCGAGGGCCCCAGGTGGGTGCTGGGGGCCACAGGGGCACATGCTGGCCCTGTAGGTGGGTGCTGGCATCCACGGGTGGTCTCTTCTGCTCCCTGCTGTCTTCTTCACGTCTCACGGACGTTGTCTTTCTGTCTGTACAGGTAAGTGCAGTGAGAAACCCAAGCTCCCTTGGGGGCACCTGCTGGTTTGATTCTGGTCCCCGTGGGGGCAGGATGTTGCCAGGGCCGCCGGGGAACCAGCTCGCCCGCCCGCCATGAGGGCTCAGCCTCTGCCCTGCTGTCTCTTCCAGGCGGGCGGGCACCACAGGCCCGAGTTTCTGTCCTGCCTGCAGAAGGCACACGAGTTCCTGCGGCTCTCGCAGGTGAGGCCCCTGCCCGGTGGCTCCAAGGGGACAGAAGATGGGTGTCAGGGCTGGGGCCCCTGCCAGCACCAGTGCCCCCCTCACCTCCACCCCTGCTCCCTGTGCCACTTTGCTCAGGTGGCCCCACCCTCCCCTGCCCCTCCACCCACCCCATCCTCTTTGGGTTGGTTCCACCTGGGTACAGCTCTCTGGAGGCCTGCGGTGGCCTGTCCCCAGTGTGCTGTGGCGCTGTAGTTTCTGCCATCTGCGCGGTGGCATCCGGGTCATGGTGGAGTCACTGTGCAGAGGGCTGGGCGCAGTCAGGGGCTGTATCTCCTGAGCGCCACAGCCTGCCTGACACCCCCTCAATGCCTTACCCCATGGGCAGGACGCTGCCCGTGGTCTTCCCTCCCGAGACCATTAGCAGCGAGCGCCCCCGCTGTTCTGCCAGATCAGTGACCCCAGCGGACCCTTCCCCGCATCCGATCTGACCTTCCAGTGTCTCCACACTCACCTGCTCCCCCCACCCCCATCCGCAGCACAGTCGTCCGAGGCCTGCGCCCCCACCCTCCCATACCCACCCTGCTCCAGCCTGGGGGCCCCTCCAGCCCAGGCCCTGCTGGCGTCCCTCTGGCTGTAGCGCGTGCCCCAGCCCCACCTCCTCCCTCTTCTCACTGGGCGATACTTCTGTGGCCTTGGTGTGGCCCAGGCAGGACCTGGGGTGGTGGGGGCAGGGGCAGGGCTGTGCCTACCCCACAGCTGGGCCTGCTCCTTGCTCCTGCCAGGACTTGCTCTGAGCGGTGGGGACCTGGGAAGGCAGTTGGACCCCACCACCCACGCAGACCTGTTTGCTCTCGCACCGAGTCAGGAACGAGGGTCTCCAGAGCTGAGGCTGTTCAGGGAGTGCACCCTCCGGGCCACGTGCCCCACCCCCTCTGCCTGCTGGCCTGTGCGGGCTCAGCGGCATCCGAGTGCCTCCTGCTCAATGCGAGTTTCAGCCCTTGGTGGCCAATCGCGTTTCCTGGCAGCGGTGGGCCGGGGGGGCCTCGTGGGTATTGGCTCTCGGATGCCCTGCAGCACGGATGGTGGCCAGCTCCCACACGTCCCGCTTCTCCAGTCCTGCCCCATCTGTCTGAGCGTGGGACCCCCCCCCGCCGTAGTGGTGACGGACTCTGCTTTCCATGTGTGCCCCCCATGCTGCCCAGGTCCCAGAGAGCCCTCCGGACTACCAGAAGTACTACCGCCAGATGAACAAGGTACTCGGGAGCTGATGCTGCCCACCGTGCCCCAGCCCAGGCCGCTCCGCTTAGCTGAACTTCCACAAGGGCTCTTCCCTGGGCGTCCTCCGCCTCTTGCCCTGGTAGACCCCGAGCATCGGGGGATGCCTGACTGCTGAGGCCGGCCTGTGGGGCTCCTTTGCGCCACCGTGGGGCAGTCTGTGCACACGCATGGCCGTGCGTCAGAGCAGTTCAGCTGGTCTCAGCACACGCAGACGTCAGACGCCTAGGACATGAGCCAGAGTGTCGGGGGCAGCCAGAGGGGAGAAGGAGGTCCAGGCCCGTGTTGGGCCTGTGTCCCCAGCCTGTCTCGTTGTGAGATTTGATGGCATGGGGGGGGTGGGGGTGCTGCAGCCCTGGGGCCCTGAGCCGGAAGCTGGAGGTCTGCCCAGTGTCCAGCTTGGGCCCGCCACACCCACAGCTGTGCTGTGAATGGGCCTCTGCCAGGGACAGCGGCTGTGGGCGGCCTGGGGACTGTGGTGCAGGCACCCCCCCCCCCCCGGCTCCTGCCTGGTGGTCACGGCTCGTGCCCTGCAGGGCGGCTTCTGCTTCAGCACGCTGGACTGCGGCTGGATCGTCGCTGACTGCACAGCTGAGGCCCTGAAGTCCGTGCTGCTCCTGCAGGAGAAGTGTCCCTCTGTCACCGAGCACATCCCCCGAGAGCGGCTCTGCGATGCTGTGGCTGTGGTGAGTCTCTGGCCCCGGCCCCCACCTCACGTCATGCGCATAGACTGCGCTCCCCTCCACTTCTGAGCAAGCGCCCGGGCCGGGCTGCAGGACTCCTCCTCAGACGGCGTCTGTTTGCAGAGCCGTGAGCCCTGGTGGGGCCCTGGTCTAGGCTCGGGGACCTGGCCACGACTGTGCTGAGGCTCCCCCGGCCTCTCTCAGGAGGGCTGGTGGTTTCCACTGGGGCCCAAGAAAAGATGAGAATTCCCGTTCATTTTTGTGCAAAATTCTTGAAGCACGTCTGGTTTTGTGCATGTTTTACCACGGGATCCCACCGTGTCCTGGTAGCGCGTGCTTGATTTAGGAGTTGTCGGGGTGCGTCCCCGCACGGCTGCACTCGGAGGCCCTGGTTGACGTGGCTGCAGCTGCTGCTTCGGGCACCCGAGGGCTCTCTTGCCATGGCAGGGGGCGCCCCGTGCCCGTTCCCGAGTGTGCTCGCACTGGGTGAGTTCTCAGGGTGCTCTCTCCCCGGCAATAGCTGCTGAGCATGAGGAATCCCGACGGAGGCTTTGCCACCTACGAGACCAGGCGCGGGGGGCGCTTGCTGGAGCTGCTGAACCCCTCGGAGGTCTTCGGTGAGTGGGTCTGCCAGCATCGTGGCACACGAACTTGGGGCCTCTCTTTCCCCTTGCCTAGGGTAGCCCACAAGGGCCCCACTGGCAGGTCCTTACGGAGCCCTCCCTGAGCCCGGGGTGTTCTGTCCCCTCAGGCTCCCATAGGGGTCCCTGAGTTGTGGACAGAAGAGCTGCAGGTTTGTTGTGGGGGTTCGCAGGGGATTTGGGTGAGATTAGCACCCAGCTCTCTGGATGCAGCCCACGCCGACTCCTGCTCTGTCCACAGGGCCTTGCGCCCGTGTGCTGAGCACGGCTCACGGAGCCCACGGCACCTGCAGGAGGTCAGTGGGGACCTCGTGCCTGTGCCCTGGCCGGTGGGATTCTCTGTGTGACTGCCGTGGTTCTCTAGTGGGGCCTCCCGTGTGCCGCCTCCCTGGTCTCTGTGCGTCTCGCTCCTCAACCTGGCACAGAGCTTTGGGGTGGGGCGCAGCTCTTCTCAGGCCCGTACGCCCTTGGTCTCATGTAGCATGTGCCAGGTCCTGCCTCCTGTGTAGCCTGAGCTGCCGTCCTCTGCTCTGGAGGACGGTTGGGCAGTTCCGGGCGTGGCTCTGCGCGGCGGTGCTCTCTCTTGCCGTGGTTTGGTGAATGGCAGGCTCTGGGACGGCCCGGTGGGGCTCACACCGCCCCTTCCCTCCCTCTCAGGGGACATCATGATCGACTACACCTACGTGGAGTGCACCTCCGCCGTGATGCAGGCCCTGAAGCATTTCCACAAGTGCTTTCCTGACCACAGGGCGGCGGAGATCAGGTGAGGAGGCCTCGGACCAGGACACTGCCGCCAAGTCAGGGCCAAGACTCGGACGCGTCATTCCCTAACGTGTCTCAGAAACAAAACTCTCATCAACAAGGAAGAGACTGCAGGTGTTGCTGAGCAGTCGGATGCCCTCTCACTACCAAATGTGTGTGCTGGGCTCAGAATAGCACCGTTAGGTACAGAAATGAGCTATCGGCTGGGCGGTGGCTCACGCCTGTGATCCCAGCACTCGTGGAGGCCGAGGCGGGAGGATCACTTGAGGTCAGGAGCTCAAGACCAGCCTGAGCAAGAACGAGACCCCATCTCTGCAAAAAGTAGAAAAAATTAGCTGGGCGTGGTGACACGCACCTGTAGTCCCAGCTACTCAGGAGGCTGAGGCAGGAGGGTCGTTTGAGCCCAGGAGTTCGAGGCTGCAGTGAGCTGTGATGACGCCACTGACTCTAGCCTGGGCGACAGAGCAAGACTGTCTCAAAATCAAAGCAAAGCAAAAGTTTACTTTTCACATCTTCTAATAATGATAAAAAGAAAAACATACCTAACTCTGCCTGTGCTCAGGTAAATGGCGGTTTTTAAGTACCCTTTCTTGTTGAAGGGCAGCAAACACTCAGAGAGGTGTGCAGGCCTTGTGTGGTCTTCTTGAGGGGACAGCCTGGGAGCTGCATCAGGCTGCTGGCACCAGCGCCCTCTGGCCTGCCCTGCCCTCCCGCGAAGGCCTCGTGCTGCCTGCCCAGTCCAAGATTTCCGTTGCTCACTGTGAACCTCGTGTACGTGGAGTCCTGCAGAGTGGACTCGCTGGCTCCTCCCGGCCTCGTGGCTGCAGCTGAGCTGGGTGGCCGGGTGGCCGCAGTTTGCTCTTCCCTCCCGACCGGCCAGCGGGTGAACGCTTCATCCACTGGCCTGTCGTTAGGACTTGGGAGGACGTCGGTTTGGGTCATGACGAGACGTCCTACCGTGAACATTCCCGTGCTGTGTTTGCGGCACGTAGGCGCCCGTTTCCTGTGGCGGTGAACCTAGGTGTGGCATTGCCGTGGCGAGGGTACGGTTGTGGGGTTTGCAGTTTCCCCGGGTTCTTCTTTGTCCTGTTGGGGTCACATATTCGTTCGAGAATGTTGCAGACTCCACTTGGCCGTGGGGTCCTTCTGAAGCTGTGTTGGCGTCTGTACGCCGTGGCTGCGAGAAAAGCTGGTCTGTGGTTTGCTTGCGATGTCCCCATCGGCTTCCCCCGTCAGGGCGCGCGCGGCTCACACAGCAGTTGCAAAGCGCTTTTTCTTTTCATGCTCCTTGGGAGAATTTGTGTTGTTATGTGTTCATGGTGCTTCTGCCTTCAATGTGTGGAAAAATTCACTGGAGAATCCAGCTGGGCCTGGAGTTTTCTTTGAGGGAAGGTTTTTAATTATGGGTTCAGTTTCTTTAATAGTTCTAGGACTGTACAGTTTAAAAAAATTTTTTGTGCCAGTTTGGGAAATTTTTCTCTTCCGACTGAGCTTTGTGTTGATGGGCACAGAGTTGCTCACAGTGTCTGTCATCTTGGACAGCTGTAGGCTTGACGTCCACATCCTTGTTTTCCTTTCTGACAATCTTGCTGAGCTTTTGAAAGAAACTATCTTAGGTGGCCGGGCGCGGTGGCTCACGCCTGTAATCCCAGCACTCGGGGAGGCCGAGGTGGGAAGATCACTTGAGGTCAGGAGTTCAAGACCAGCCTGGGCAAGAGCAAGGGTCGTCTCTACGAAAAAAGAGAAAAATTACCGGGTGTGGTGGTGCAGGCCTGTAGTCCCAGCTACTGGGGAGGCTGAGGCAGGAGGGTCGCTGGAGCCCAGGGGTTGGAGGCTGCAGTGAGCTGTGATGACGCCACTGCACTCCAGCCTGGGCGACAGAGCCAGACCCTGTCTCCAAGAAAAAAAAACCACCTTAGTCTTTGCTTCTGTCTGGTATACGTTTATTTTTTAAATGAGTTTATTTTTGGTTTTATCAGTTTCTGCTATTTGTTGTCTTATTTTTTACTTTCTTTTTCTTTTTTTCCAGCTTAAGTAATAAAAATTTATTGAGAATTCCTGGGTTGGTGGTTTCTCCTCCCAGCCTGACGAGGGGAATGGCGCTGGGAAACCACTGAGAAGTACCATGCTGTCCCAGCAGCCGTGGCCAGCACCGAGCAGGAAAGTCTGGTCTTCAGCCTTCCGTAGTCTGAGAGAAGGGTGAGGCCGGGCGAGTGCAGGGACCGGCACGTGGTACTGGACCCTCGCTGGCTCCCCAGGAACTGGAGAGGCAGGCCCACCTGTTCTCTGGGGTGCAGGTCTTGGTTCCCAGGCTCAGTTCTTACCCTGGATGAGGCTGCCACTTCCTGGGGGAAACTTTCATCCTGTGGGTTCATTGGGTTGGCAGCACTGAGACAGGTCCGATTCTGCAGTGTGGCAGTCGTCTCGGAGATGTCTGGCCGCCCGGACCTTGCGCAGTTGGATGTAGCAGGTTCTTGCTTGGCACTTCTCCAGGTGAGCAGGGCAGGGTTAAGGGTTCACACAGGCAGGTCTCATCCCGGCCCATCCTCAGCACTCCCTCGCTCAGTCCTCTGGGCGGTTGGGTCCAGGGTTGCGCCCAGGTAGCTCCTGCGCAGCCCTGCTTTGGGCCCCACCCAGGGCCTCCCTGCAGGTACTTTCTGTTTCTGACTTGAGCACCTGGATACCTGACTTGGAGCCTTCTTTTATTGAAATATGCACTTGAGGCTAGAAATCAGTTTTGTTACATAACTCAATTAAAAATGTTTTCTGTTTCTGTTGTGAGTTCTCTGGCCAATGAAGTATTGAGGGGTGTGTTGCTTCATTTCCCAATAAAGTGAGGGTTTCCTAGCTGTGCTCTGGTGGAGACCCTGGGTGGAGCGGTGGGTTCCTCCCGAGGGGTGCTGCGTCTGCTGTTCCCCGTCGCCCAGGCCTGGCGCCTCCCTGGCTGTGTGCTGCTCTGCATGTCACGTGGACGCAGGTTGTCCTCAGTAACACGCCGACAGAACTGGCCTTTCTTTTAATACGTTCTCTCTTGAAAATCACTATAATAAAAGTAAAGCATGTTCTTTAAAGAAGCCTTGGAAAATACAGAAAAGTGCAAGGAAGAAAATCGTCGCCAGTCACCCCGGAGAAGAATCTGTTGTCCTGTCTGATCCTCGCGTTTCCATCACTGTTTTACGCACACCTGCTACGGGACCGTGGTGTGCGCCTGCCGAGGGTTCTGAAAGCCCCATCTCGCTCAGGGCTTCTCCAGCGAGTTGTAACGGCTGCTGGTGTTTCCGCGTGTCACTCCCCAGCCTCTTGGTTATTTCTAAACTTTCATTGTTCTTTTCTAGCTTTTTCCCGTTTTAACCTTAGCCGGCACGCTCTTGTTAAGTGTTGGTTCCTGATGGCTGTTATTCCCTAGAGCCGCAGTGGGGCAACACTCACCCAGTCCTGTCACCTCTCTGCTCCTCTCCCCGCCCAGCGGGCAGTCGCGCACAGGCTGTGGAGGTGGGGGACAGGGATGCCCCGTGAAGGCCCAGGAGGTTGTGGCACACCTGAGTGTGGAATGAGGCCCTGTGGGG